AAAAAAAAAAAAAAAAAAAACAGGCCGTGGAGCCAGAGGGAGAATGAATGTGTGCTAGTTCAAGGGATTCCCATGTTAAAGGACATTGTTTTAAAATAGAAACAGTAAATAAAAAGAAGATTTTTCTGAGATGAATAGGCTCATCAACTATAGGACAATGCCTAGAATTTGCCCTTTCCAACTCTTCAGTGTCCTACCGGCTTAGAAAAAAAAAAAATGAGTCAACAGTTTTCTTACTCCAGGACCTTTCAGAAATTTCAGCATACTAATGTAAAAAATCCTTCAAGAGGGGGTTATGGTCTCCGTGTTTTATTTCAGCACTGAGTATCTTTTTTTAAGCTTTATTTTTATATGTCTGAGTGAGTATATGACACATATGTGTGGGTGCTTGAGGAGACCAGAAGAGGGTGTCAGATCCTCTGGAGCTAAAGTTACAGGCATGTATAACCACCCCCTCCCCAGTATGGGTGCTAGGAACTGAAATCAGAAGTGCTCCTAACTGCGGAGACATCTCTCCAGCCTCACCCGGGAGACAGCAGTGCTCCGGGAGATGTATTTTTGAACATTTGTTAGGTACAAGCATTGTTGTAACTATGTGTCGGTTTTTGTTTTTGTTTTTGTTTTTTATGAAACACACCTTTGTTCGTTAATATTTTAAGAAACTCTTCCTTTAAAAATGTGTTGTGGGATTGGAGAGAAAGCTCAGAGAAATGGCTAAGAGCACTTGCTGCCCTTGCCGTGGACCTGGATTCAGTTCCCAGCACCTGCATGACAGCCTACAGTCCAGTTCCCAGAGATCCAGTGCCATCCTCTGGTCTGTGTAGGAACCAGGCATGCAGATGGCACATGGACATACATGCAGGAAAAACACTACACACATAAAATAAGTAAATATTTAAGAACATATATTGAACCTGGGCATGGTGGTGTACACCTTTAATTCCAGGCCTTAGATCTCTGAGTTCAGCATAGTCTGTAGAGTGAGTTCCAGGACACCCAGGGCTACACAGAGAACAACAACAACAACAAAATTGGTTAAAACAACAACCAGAATGCTAGTGATAAGTAAAAGACAATAAGGAGTATTGAATGCAAAATTAAAGACTACCAGAGGCAAAAGTCTCCAGAGTAAAAGCAGGGGTCTCTCCAGCAGCAGCAGGACTTTGCAGACAGTGGACTTGATAGTAACAAATGTTAGCATGGCTATGCTGTATGTCCACTCAAGGTTAATGGACAGAGAGGCTTTTAGACAAAGGACTGGCATACCCTACCCAAGAAGGCATCCAAGAGCATTGTGTCAGTGGGAAAAGAAGGGAACCTGAAGGGAGAAATTTTAAGTAACTCTAGGCAGAGTTAGTAATGACAAAATAATATTTTTGTGAAAATTACTCTGAATACTTGAAAAGCTAGGTAGCTATGGAAAGAAGCACTGTCTGGTGAAGAGGATGTGGTGCTGAATAATTTTAACTGTAATTTTTTTCCCTTTTTTCTTTTCTTCCCCGACCCCCCCTTTTTGGTTTTTTTGAGACAGGATTTCTCTGTATAACAAACAGTCCTAACTGTCCTGGAACTTGCTTTGTAGACTAGACTAGTCTTGAACTCACAGAGATCCACTTGCCTCGGCCTCCTGAATGAGGGATCAAAGGCATGCGCCAGCACTATCAAGCTTTTAACTAATTTCTTTCTGATAAAGCCAAGCATAAGTAGCCAGGTGTCATGGCTTACGCCCTTGATCCCAGCACTCAGGAGGCAGAGGCAGGTGGATCTCTGTGGGTTTGAGGCCAGCCTGGTCTACATAGGGAGTTCTGCATCAGCCAGGGATATACAGTGAGACCCTATCTAAAAATTTTTAAAGGAAAAGTTACATTTAAATACATATGTATTTATGAGTATCAGTCATGTATTGAACACTGCGTATGGCCCTGGAAATAAAACACTTGGAGATTAAGTGAACCTTCATCTTCGTGGAGTTTACATTTTAGTGGCGAACTACTCATTGCTTTTAAAAGGCACAGCTGGCACAAAGACAGGAATTGGGGAAAGCAGTCTATGAAAAGGTGTTGGGGAATCCTTGAAAACGTATTGGTATGGGGAAGAAGAGAGCTAGTGAACAGTGTTAGACAAAATATAAGGCGAAAGAGCATTAATAAAGTAAGACAAGTGGCTAGAGCATCCACCTTGACTAGCAACATAAAAGTGACAGTTGACAGGATAATCGGCAGGTTCACAGTCATGTAAGTGTTTAGTGTATCTCTGCTAAAACCAAAAGGAAGACAGAAAATTAGTGGAGAATATAAAAGATTTAGGGTTGGAGAGATGGCTCAGTTAAGAGTACTCACTGCTCTTTTGAGGATCCAAGAAGATTATCCATAGAACTTTAGAAATGAGAATACTAATTGTAACATGATTTCACTGCTGTCTGTTGTGTTTATAATTTCTATACTTGCCTTTAATAGAGGAACATATTTAAGGTGATTTTCTTTACTTCCCTGTAGGTTACTCAGATGAGTCGTCCGGACCTGATTCTCTTTCTGATGAAGTATCTGATGGCTCTCATAGTCGGGATTCCCTCTATATTTTGGGTTGGAAGCAAAAAGACATGCTTTGAATGGGCCAGTTTTTTCCATGGTCGTAGGAAAAAAGAGTAAGTTAATGAGTTCCCATAGTAGTAACAGCCCTTGTGTGTGTGTGTGTGTGTGTGTGTGTGTGTGTGTGTGTGTGGGTGTGTGTGGGTGTGGGTGTGGGTGCGCGCGTGCGTGCATGCACGCGCATGCCTGCATGTGTGCGCGAGAGCTTGTTGGATTTGGAGAAGTATTCTAACAAGATTATAGCTATCAGCAGTGACTAGTAATATTTGGCACAGAAGCATGGCTTTAAAATGAAAAATTAGCTGGACACAGTGGCTTGTGCCTATAGTCCTAGTTACTGATTAGGCTGAGGCAGGAGGATTAGGAGTTTGAGGCCACACTGGGCAAGATAGGAAGACTCTGTCTTAAAAACAAACAAATAAATAAATAAATAAACAGACAACTGAAAATCTGCTTTTCAGAAAATGGCTGAGCAGAGCCATACAAATGCTTCCCCGTTCCAATCTTTAGTAAGGAGGGAAGACTAAGCGTTGCAAGATATTCACATAGTTTTCTTTTTCTCTTCCTGTTTACCTGGCCTCCCTGACTTCCGTGGGAAGGTGGGTGTGTATTCTCATCTCTTTTCAGATGAGAAACTAAGCAGCTTAAACACCTGGCCACAGCCACATAGCTGCTCAGTGTAAGAATTAGTAACTTCAACTTCTATTTGAAGTTTTCCGTGGCTTTTCGTGGTCTGCCACACATGTGAAAAGATAGACTATTGCTCCGTTTCTAATTTAGTGCACATTAAAGGTTCATAACCTTAAATTCTTTCTTTTATTTAATTGTAGTCTGAAGCTGTTGAAAGAGCTAATTAAGAGTAGTGGTAATAGATAGTATCATATTCCTGATTTTAATGAAAATATTTCTGGTTAGCCAGGTGGTGGTGGCACACACCTTTAATCCTGGCACTCAGGAGGCAGAAGCAGGCAGATTTGTGTGAGTTCGAGGCCAGCCTGGTCTACAGAGTGGGTTCCAGGACAGCCAGAGTTACACAGAGAAACCTTGTCTTAGAAGAAAGAAAATATTTTTAGTGGTTCTTGATGTTTTCATTAAATATGATGCTGCTTTTAGAGGTGACATATTTTTTCTTTGTAAGAACTTATCTATTGGTACTCTATTATAAATATCAAGAATACATTAAATGGATTAAAGGACTAGATGTAAAGGACTCATCAAATACCTGTTTTCACCTGTCAGCCCAGTGCTGAGAAGAACAGGGACTGTTACAACCCTGTTAATTTGAGAACTTACACATACTTCCTCAATAAATGATCAAGGCTTTACATGTTGGGGTTGATTTTTTCAATCAACGTCATTTAATTTTAACTTTAGCTGATCCTCACAGATACTTTACAGTGATTTAACTCGATTTTTTGTTAATTCATCATAATGCACACCTATCTACTGCCCATCCTGCCATAACATTTAAAACTTTTACTTTTGATAATTTGTCCCTTTAAATTGTTTAGGACTCCAATGAATATTTGCTTAATTTAGATTTTCATATCACTTTGTTCTGAGGTTGACTACTCAGGTTTGTTCTAACAGGAGACTGCTGTTCCTGCTGCTGAGTCAAGATGGAGCCTTAAACTGCTCTTGAAAATTAAAATTGTATCCAGTTATCATGAAGCCATTATTACTTCTGCAGAGCATGAAATAAAACTTTTTCCTATCTTATCATTATTTTTAAAAGTATTTTGGGACCATGGGGGCTGGAGAGCTGGCTCAAGGGTTAAGAGCACTGACTGCTTTTCTAAAGGACCCGAGTTCAATTTCCCAGCACCCACATGGCAACTCACACCTGTCTGCAACTCCAGTTTCAGGAGACCCTGACACCCATGACAAAAACACCAATGCACATAAAAATAAAATTAAAAAAATATTTTGAGACCTAAAGGGTCACAGGTATCTTTAGCTAAAAGGGATTTCTTAGAAATAATGGACTTATCAGCCTTCATTTCATAAATAAAATGAAGGAAAGACAGGATAGTTACTTGCTGAGATCGCCTATGTGCTCACAAAACTGGAACTACAATCTTGATTTTCTTACTCTGTCACAGCACTTTAGAGCAGAATGGCATTGGGTTTATTTTGTTGTTGTGTTTTGACACAAGGTCTTATGTAGGTTAGCCTGGCTTTGAATGTGAAGATAACCTTGAACTTCTGATTCTCTTAGCTCAACATCCCAGATGCTAGGATTTCTGGCATCAGGCCCAGTTTTTGACAGAGATTTTTGTTACAGTCTGTCCTCTGTCAAAAATGTCACCTCAAATCGGCCCCCAAAGACTTAATTTGAGGAGCAGTTAATTTCAAGACGATCATCCACCAGTATTGTTTTGTTGGTCTGTAGGAATGTTTGTATCTTAAACTTCCTGTTGTATTGTGTAGGATAGTGAATGAGAGCCGGCAGGTGCTCCAGGAACCCGACTTTGCTCAGTCGCTCCTGAGGGACCCAAACACTCCTATTATCCGGAAATCAAGAGGAACTTCCACTCAAGGGACATCCACACACGCTTCCTCAACTCAGCTGGCCATGGTGGATGACCAACGGAGCAAAGCGGGGAGTGTCCACAGCAAAGTGAGCAGCTACCACGGCAGCCTCCACAGGTCACGTGACGGCAGGTGAGCCCTGGGGGCGCCGTAGTTTACTAGACAGGGGCCAGGTCTGAAATAGAGGTGGACCGTTCCTAAGCTTTCTTAACTTTCTGATTATAATTGTCCCAGATTAGGGGACTTAAAGCCAATCAAAGGACTTTGGGGTTTAGACAGACAGTATGACGTTACTGTAGGGCACTGAGTGGGAAGAAGGAGGACTGGTCAGTTTAGAAAGATGAATTTAGCCAGGCAGTGGTGTGGTGATATATTGTATACCCCAATATATTGTGAACGCTAATAAACTTTTTTTTTTTTTTTTGGTTTTTCGAGACAGGGTTTCTCTGTGTAGCTTTGCACCTTTCCTGGATCTCACTCTGTAGACCAGGCTGGCCTCGAACTCACAGAGATCTGTCTGCCTCTCGAGTGCTGGGATTCAAGGCGTGCACCACCATTGCCCAGCTAATAAACTTTTTTGAAAGATCAGAGAAACGGAACAAGCCATAGCCAACCTCACCTTGCCAAACCCTCAGCAGATCCTGTTTCCATGAATCCTTAGACTGAAATCCTCTGAGTCCTCACCCCTGAGGGTCTCAGTTGAACTGCTGCTTAGTTCCTGTCTCCTCATGCCTTATATACCGTTCTCCACCCAGGCATGTCACTTCCTGAGATTAAAGGAGAGTGTGCTTTCCAAGAAAAGGCATGAGATCTCAAGTGCTGGGATTAAAAATGTGTGCCACCACTGCCTGGCTCTGTTTCCAGTGTGGCCTTGATCTCATAGAGATCACATGGATCTCTGCCTCCAGAATGATAGGATTAAGGGTGTGTGCCACTGCTCTCTGGCCTCTATGTCTAATCTAGTGGCTGGCTCTGTCCTCTGATCCTCAGATAAGTTTATTAGGGTACACAATATATTGGGGTACACAATATAACACACAGTGGTGGTGCACACCTTGGGAAGCACAAATGGGTGGATGTCTGTGAGTTCAAGGCCAGCTTGGTCACAAAGGGAGTTCTAGGATGGCCAGAGTTATTACATAGAGAAATCCTGACTTGAACCCTCCCACCCCCAAAATAATGTGGATCTGAGGAGCTGTAGAGATAGATGGTTTAGCAATTAAAAGTACTTGCTGTTTCAAAGGACCTGAGTTCAGTTCCCAGCACCCACATCAGACAGCTCCAAACCATCTGCATCTCTCACTCCAGAGGATCCAACACCTTCACAGGAACCTGTACTCAGATGCACATACCTACATGCAGGCATGCACACATTAATATAATTAGAAATAATAAAAGTAAATCTTAAAGAGTATAGATCTAGAATGATAAAACTAGATTCCTTGCCTATAAAGGTGAAATAGTAATAGCCACGCCTTCTGTAATGTCATAAAAATTCAGTGAGATAATGTGCCAATTCACTAGAAACAGAGCCTGTGCCAGTGTCAGATATGTTGCGGTTATTAATGTTAATCAGCACATAAAGTAAAATATAAACATAAAGCAAAATATATTCCAGGGCTATGGAAGTGTTTTCTTAAGGAGCCAAATTGTAAACGCTTTAGTCTTTTTAATTAAAGTGGCAACCACTGCTCAGACCTCCTGTAGCAGTGTGTACTCAGATGAGCTTCATCTCAGTAGCCTTAGTTATAACCAGGAGTTAGCAGATGTGGCATTAAGTCCCTTTGTCAGCCTGCTATTTTGTGGGACGCTGGGGTTTAGACCCAGGGTTTGAGAATGCTAAGCAAGGATTTTACCACTGAGCTACATCCTAGTACCTGGTACCAAGCCCTTGTTTATTAGGTGCAGTGGAAGCAGAGACTAGGAGTGACTGTGATACCATGGAGACAGTTCAGAAAATGCTTCAGAGAGATGGCTGGAAGGAAGCCTGGATGTAGGGTTTGCATTAAGTTTGAGATTGGGATACTGGAGCTGGAAATTGCTTACGAGCCGCTGCATTAAGTCATTTGAGAGACAATGAGGGTTTATCAGGGAGGAGAGAGGCAGTGGGGGGAGAGGGGCAGCTGACTTAAATATAGATTTTTGTCCTTTAAGAAAACAAACATCAATGTGGGAAGGATGGGGAGGAGATAGGATGAGTGTTGCTGGGGAGGATGTAAATTATTCCAGCCACTGTGGAAATCAGTTTGGAGTTCCCTCAGAACACTAAAAATAGAGCTGCCTTATGACTCACCATTTGATTCCTGAGAAGATACCCAAAGCAATTCAAGTCAGCATACTATAGAGACACCCTCCTGCCTTAATTAAGGTTTTAATTGCTGTAAAGAGATACCATGACCATGGCAGCTCTTATAAATGCAAACCTTTAATTAGGACTGGCTTACAGTTTCAGAGGTTTAGTCTATTATCATTGGCAGGAAGCACGCAGGCAGACATAGTGCTAGAGAAGTAGCTGAGAATCCTATATCTTGCAGGCAGCAGGCAATAGACTGTGACATTGAATGGAGCTTAAGTAAAAGAGACCTCAAAGCCTGCCCCCATAGTTACACAATTCCTCCAACAAGGCCACACCTACTTCAACAAGGCCAGACCTCCCAATAGTGCCACTCCCTATGAGATTATGGGAGCCAATTACATTCAAAGCATCACACCCCTCTACCTATTCTTATTGCACTGCTGTTCAGAATAGCCAAGTTATAAAATCAGCTTTGATTTTCATCAACAGATGAACATATAAACAAAATGTAGCACATGTGCACAGTGAGGTTTTATTTAGCTACAAAGAAGGAAAAAATCATTCTTTTGCAGGAAAATGAGTGGAACTGCAGATCATCAAATTAAATGGAATAAGCTAGACAGCAAAAGACAACTCTTTTTTCCCTCTTATGCAGAACCTGGAGAGAGAGAGAGAGAGAGAGAGAGAGAGAGAGAGAGAGAGAGAGAGAGATCAAATTGTGTATAAGATTCTGTAGGATCTCAGAGAAGAGTAACATCTACCTCATTGTGGTTAGTTAGAAACAGCTTCCCAACAGATGGCACTTGTACTTTAAATAGCATTCAGAGGAGACACTCAGGAATGTATGACAAGGGAGCAGTGTGCACAGAGAGGAGAACAGGCCGATAAGTTTCAGTGCCTAGGTAAGACCAGAGCATAGTGTGTGTTGGGACTTCTAGGAGATGCAGCCATGCTGAGGATTTGGGTTTCTCTGACAGTGAGAGGCTGTTGCAGGACTTCGAGTACTAGGAAAATAAAGTCTGACTTGAACTTTAAAACAACCTGAAAAAGAAGAGTATAATGAAGCCATTGATTTGGGGTCTTAATTCAAGATGCTGATAAGGAGATAGGGTATAGGCAGAGTTTCTCTGTGTCCTGGCAGCTGCTCCCAAATAATCACACAGAAACTTACTATTAATTATAAATGCCTGGCCAATAGCTCAGGCTTGTTACTAGCAACCTCCTACATTTTAAATTAAGCCATATTTCTTATTTATACCGTGCTATGTGGTTTGGTACCTTTTCTCAGCATAGCAATTTCATCTCTCCACAACTCTCAATTCTGAGATGCCTCCCCTTCCTCTTCACACTTTTTTTTAATGTACTTTATCTATGAACTTTTGGTGATGATATTTGACATCCTAGTCTCATCCTTTTTAGTGGTGAATAAACATTATTATAGTATTATGTTTGTATGTGACATTCTGTGCATAAATATATAGAAAAGGAAGGTTTTTAATTTCTATATTCTAGGAGCATAGAGCCTGATAGAAAAGGTACAATACATACATATGAAGCAAAATTATGTGGGTGGAGTCTGTTGAAGGCATCCTGTATCTGAGTGAGTGAATATACACATAGGACTCTCTTCCATACCCAGAACTGTAGGGCAGATGTGAAAGGTTTCAAGACTACATTGAAACTAAAAGTCTGAACAAGGATTTCCATAATCCAAAAAGGCATCTCATGAAGACTTCCTTCTGCTTCAGTCAGGCTTCAACTGCATGTTAGTACTGTCTTCAAGCCGTCTTATTATCTCAAGGTATCCTGGCCACGGGTCACAGATTCCCAGAACTCACTTTGATTCACCACTTGGATAATTATTGATCTCCGTACTACATACACCTACATGTAAACATTACTTCAAAGAGTAAGTAATTGGTAGTTAGAGGACAGCTAGAAGAGAAAGGAGGTAGAAGTTTAGGAACAAGTGACCAGTCACATAAGTGCCCTGGCAAAGGAAAGTAGTGGAGTGAATAATAGCACACTACTGGACTGCAGTTGATTTAATTATGTAGATGAATGCTAGCAAGTAGTAAAGAGAATCGAAACGTAAACCACCGCTTTTTCACCAACTCTGGAGTGCCCTTACTGTATTTTTAACAGCAAAGTGACCATCCTAATATTTTGTCTAAACATACATTAAAACTATGTTTTATAGGCAGTGCTATATAAATTATGTATTTTCATATTGTATGGTATATAATCACATTGGTTTAAATGGCTTTTGAAAGGTACAGAAATTTGACAATTCCTACATATACAGTTTATATTAAACACTGTAATTAAATTTGTTTTCTTTATAGTTAGTTCCTATTTATTCATGGACAGAATATTTATACTTTAGAATTCTGTGATAGTCATGTTTCTCAGATGTAATTATACAATGTAGTTTTTCCTCTGAAAATGTGTTCTTTGGAGGTGGGGGCAGGAGTTCAGTCCCAACAGCACACAAAAGTGTCAGGCACAGATGGCACGTGCTTGTAATCTCCACACTAGGGAAGGACAACATCTGTGTGTGTATCTGTGTGCATGTGGGGCAGAAGAGGGCGTCAGATCTGGAGCTGGAGTTGCAGGCAGTTACGAGCTGCCTGCTGTGGGTGCTGGGAACTGAGCTCCGGTCCTCTGAAAGCCCCCTTTATATATTTTAAATGACTTGAGTGTTCTCTGCTCTTCTCCCTTCCACCCTCTGCCCCCTTTTCCTCTCTTCCCTTCTCTCTTCCCTTCCCATTCCTGCTTAAACCAGGGCCTTGCACATGGTAAGCAAGTACTTTACTATTAAATTTCTTTTCCCAGCCCTTTGTAGTGTGTGTGTGGTGTGTGTACTTGTTTGTGCATGTGTATATTTGTGTACTGTGTGTCAGCATTGGATGTCCTTAGTTTGAAGAACAATAATCATTATGCAAAATAATAATTTCAAAATAGATTCTAACAAGCCCATTGTAACGTATTTGCATTTGCAAGCATTCCGATTATTTTACCAAAACATGCAGTAAAAATGTAAATGTCTCTAGGTTCTAAATGTAAATTTAAGTGTTTGGAAACAGGGTAGGGTCTCTTGTAGCCCAGGCTGGCTTTGAAATTTACTGTGTAGCCAAAGCTGGGTCAATCTTCTTCCCTTCACCTTCCAGTCTCGGGGGTTACAGACATGTGCACCATGCCTGGCTGAAGTGTTTCATCATTAATAGGAGAAAATTTAAGAACACTTACATATACATCTGTCCTGGTTAGTTTTATGTCATCTTGACACAAGCTAGAGACATTTGGGAAGAGAGACTCTCAGTAGAGAAAATACCTCCCTCCATAAGACTGGACTACAGGCAAGCCTGTCAGGCATTTTTTTTTATTAGAAATTGACAGGGGAAGGCCATTGACAAGCACTGCTATAAAACTAGATGGCTACCTCAGTAGTGTTCATGAACCTTTCTTTCAGATCTTTTAATTTTTCAAATGATTGACCTTAAATCGTGGTATTTTTTATAGTTATGATAGGTAGGTGAATGATTTTTAAAGCAGTAGCTCTTCAGCTGCTTATAATGATTTATTTTAATAACTGTTAGGTTGACATGGTAGCACTTACCTTTAAGCCTAGCTCTTGGGAAGCTTAGGTAGGAAGATCTCTGTAAATTCAAGGCCAGCCTAGTCTACATAGTGAGCTCTGGAACAGCCAGGACTACTTAGAGACCTTGCTTCAAAAAGAAAGAAAGGAGAAAAGGGCGGGGGGTGGAATGAGACTGGGGTCCCTGCTCCATGGAAGGTCCCTTGCCCAGTATGCCCAAGGCCGTACTCTAATCCCCAGCACTACACGCAGACAGACAGACAAAACCCAGGATAGTTTGCAGTGTTCTGAGATGGCTCTTTTCTTTCCTTTGCAGTGCTGGGGATGAAACCTGTGGACTTTTATCTAGGCCAGCGTTGCACAGCTGTGCTGCATCTGTCTCTTGCCCTTGCATTTGAGACAGGGTCTCACTATGTTGCTCAGGCTGGCCTTGAGCTCTCTATTCTCTTGTCTCCTCATCCTGAGTGCTGGGATTATAGGCCTAGCAGACATTCCTGGCCCTGTTTACTTTCAGAAACATTATATTTAGGCAGGGCTTATAGTCCAGAGCCTCTTACACCCCATGCTATAAAAACAAACAAAAACAACATGTTCATTAAAGTCATCAAGTATGTATACTCAGTTCTCTTTGGATTTTATTATCCTAAATTATGTTTTCCAAAAGAGTGTGTGAGTATATGAACAAAAAGTATTTTAGAAAAGGCCTGTGGTGGCCCACACCTTTAATCCTAGCACTCGGGAGGCAGAGGCAGGTGGATCTCTGTGAGTTCAAGGCCAGTCTGGTCTACAGAGTTCCAGGACAGTCGGGGCTACACAGAGAAACCCTTTTTTGAACCCCCATCCCCTAAAAAAGATATGGAATATGGTACTTATCCTGAAAGAACTCACTGTTTAGCCAGAAAGATTGATAAATACCATATGAGCTCTATAAATGGACCAATAAAAAGTCTAGTTGGTTTTCATGACCTTGACTGGCCTAGAGCTAATAACTTCTCATCCCAGTGGCTGAGGTTAGTTTTTTCATTGTCATTGTTTTTTGTATTTTTATATTCTTGCCTCTGATGTGGTTCGTTAAGTTGGGATTGTGACAAAAGAAAATGTGATCAGCCCACGGTTGCATTTCTGGGTAGAAAAGCCAGCTGTGTGCAGAGCCCAGCTAGGGGACAAGGACTTGCTGATGAGAGAACCTGTTATAGGGTGTCAGCATGCAACTTCCAAGTAGATATAATTTCTACAAATTACCATCTTCACAGCTTTAAACCCCGAGGGAAAGAAGGAAGGTCATATAGAGATGACTGATCAGCTGGTAACTAGCCCGTCTAGATGCTGTGGACACAGATGCCACCAATGTTAGCAGCTCATTCCCTGGTGCTTCAGTGACACTTCAATTTCTCCTCCAATCCATTCATTCCCTCTTCCAACCCTTTGAGCCCACTGAATCTGATACATATTTGAGTAAGAAAATGATCTGTACTTAACACAGTTCCAAATGGGTCAGCCTTACTTACTTACTGTTTGCCCTTTTGCAGGGAATATGGCCTTCATCCTGACCTACATGGATTCTCTCTGTTAGCCATGTCAGATAATTCTACAGCATAATGAAATTACTCAAAATAATCGTGTCACTTACTGCTTTCTCACTGTTGATTTACTGAGCACTTCAATCACTAAGGCATTTTAATGAAAATCATTAGCATTACTTTCTGGTGTGTTCAGCTACTCACTTTCAAATCCACTCTACTGTGCAGGTACACTCCCTGCAGTTACCGAGGAATGGAGGAGAGACTACCTCACGGCAGCATGTCACGCCTGACGGATCACTCCAGGCACAGTAGTTCTCATCGGCTCAATGAGCAGTCACGACACAGCAGCATCCGAGACCTCAGCAACAACCCCATGACTCACATTACACACGGCACCAGCATGAACCGTGTTATCGAAGAGGACGGGACCAGTGCCTAGTCTCGTCTAAAGTGAAACTTGTGCTGTTGGAAGTGGGTTTTAGCCTGGGTCTTCGCATGGCTGGCTGCTGTAACTCGCTGTCATCCTGCTTTTAATCAGGCAGAGTGTGCCCACTGAGAAGGTAGATCTTTGCTTTTTGTGTCGCATCAAACTTGGCGTGTAAACACATCCCAAACACAAAAGAATCATGTCATCACAAAAATAATTCTTTCTAGGTTGTGAAGAGATGATTGTCTGGTAAGCATTTTTATAAACCCCCTTATTTTATATTTAGAAAAATCCTATATGTGTGGTGACTGCTTTGTAGTGAACTTTCATATAATATGAACTAGTGGTGAAATGACATTCTGGTAGCTCTGTTAATAAAACAAAGTTTCAGAATTAAAGAAAATTTCTATGCAAGGCTTATTTCTCAGATGAACACTAGGACTTTGTAGGTTTATTTCCACTGAGTGAGAAAAAGGAACTGTTTTTAAACTGTAGAAGACTGTGATAAGCCAGCAAGGGTATTAGCTAATAGGATCAAAGTGCCAGAAGAGTCCAGTTGGCCTGTGGGAGGTTCTCTCAAAGTCCGTAGTCTTCCCCACAGATATTCAGGATGTGGATGAATTAGCATTGGAGTAAAGGCAGAGATGAGCATTTCCCCTGCAGTTGTATTGTTTTTTACTTTTGTAAATATTACTTTTATGGGCTATGTTTTTATAATATCCATATGCATGATAGAGAAAATTTAATTTGTGGCCATCTTTTCCTAGGTAATTATATTGATTCATAGACAACTTCATGTTCAGATATGTTCTGTGGAGGCATGCAGTAAGATAAGCATCACACATTATAAGGGTTTTTAAGTGGTAAACAAATTACGAAATGGCAAAATATTTTCTCTGTATTCGTTGTTGTATTTTTCTACAGTGAGATGTGACCTTGCCAAAGCCATCAGACATTGATATCCAGGCCCTCCTATAGTGAGCTGATTGTCTGCACTGAACTCCCCAGGAGCCAGTTGGCTACTGCTTGTTCCCCACATTCCTGTTTTCAGTTTCTGAATCATTGTTTACATCTGAAATATATAATCTAAGTCCAAAGTGGTGATTCATTTGGGTTCTTGAAAACCATTGTAGCTAAGTGGAGCATGGTTACTCTTTCTGTGAATACCTTTAATCTAAAAAATATCAAGTGAAAAACACTTGACATTTTATCTTATAAAGCTTAAATGATTTAGGATATGAACTGTGAACTTTATTGGGTATGAAACTGATCAGAAAGAAAAATTCTGGAAAATGCTAATGTGTTCATTCAGAAAACACAGTGATCCCCAGCCCTGATTGCAGGTAAGACTCACTCTGGGAGCTCTCGTTAGCCAACATCTTTCTCTCAGGTGAGAGTTGATGCTTTAAAAACAAACAGAAGCTTTCCAGGTGATAATTAGCTAGCCAAACTTGAAGCCCATTCTTTTAAGCTCGCTTTCTCCTAATGATGGGCTGATGGTATCACTTTTGATCATGGGAAGATCTAGCCAGACTCAGTGATACGCTTTACATTGTTACCTAATATACTGTTGTTTCCTACTTTATTATCCATTATAAAATGCAGAATTCTCAATTCTCATCTCTGGAGAGTCTTACTCAATAAATCAGTAGGATTTCACAGATCTGTGTTTCTAAAAACACAGAAGATTCTTAGCAGGCTATCCAAGAATCACACTCAGAAAAAATTATTCTAGACTCTGGAGAGGGAGGCCTGGCTTTGCCATATGCTAGTTTTCAACTTTGAACAAGTCAGCCTCCTTGAGCCTAGCTCCCCTTGTTTGAAAATGAAGATTGAAGATGAATATCTACTCTACCTACCTCACAAAGCTGTCAAATTAAGATCAAATGAAAACAACCATATGGAAGCTCTTGGAAACTGTGAAGCATTATGAAATATGAGAGACTAAGATTCTTGAGGACTTAAGAGCTTTATTAGAGGTCTACTGTAGTACATTTCTTGACACATGCTTCTTCTTTCACCCTTTAAAATTAAGAGCTCCTACCTGACAGAAGAGCCAGTTTTCTGGTAGTCATGATTTATTTGTGTCCTGTTGCTTCTTCAAAGTATGTACCAGTAGAGATTACTCATTCTTCATAAAACACATTTGAGCATTTAGCCCCAAATGTTTTCTCTTCCTCTGTCCTCCTGTCTTTCTCCTTGGAACTGGAGACCACTCAGAGAGGCCTGAAGTCCCTTATAACTGACAGTTAGTAAACCCTTCCTTACGCCTTACAAGGCACAACTGATAACTTGTCTATAAATAAACCAGTAACTCAGGAAGTTTCTGTTTGAGAAGCTATGTAGAACAGCATGGGCAAACCCAAACAAACATCCACAGTCATAGGAAGTTGAGATAGAAATGCCAGTTTGAGCTCAAAGATGTCTTCTGTTACCATCTGCATTGCTACCAACTGCCGAGTGTTCAGTGGTTGTCTTTTAAAGTGGGACAGTGCAGACAGTGAAGTGAGCATTGTCATGAAAGGCTCACCTTGGTGCTTCCAGACTGTGTGCATGCACTTGCACCTCCTCCAAGCTGGTGGAGTTGTGTACGTGAATGTTGTTGGCCTGCAGGCACCTTCAACAGGCGCCGTCCTTCACTTGTCCTGCACAGTCTGCATAATGGTGTTTGTTTCAAGTAGCACTGTTCAGTTTGGGCCGTATTCTTTAGCATACTAGCACTATAGGTTAAGAATTTTTCATTCTTTTCTTTCTTTCTTTCTTTCTTTCTTTCTTTCTTTCTTTCTTTCTTTCTTTCTTTCTTTCTTTCTTTCTTCTTTTTTTTTTTTTTTTTTTTTTGAAGAGACCATTGAAGAACTATAGCAGAACAGTGATTTCAAATCTTAACCTGCTTAAATTGACTTAACAAGTCTGGACAGTTTTCTCACCATATGAGTAACTTTAATTTCTGTTGTGATTGGCATATGTTAATACTTAGTGTTTTCTTTGTTCGGTTGACAACCAAGAAAATGATAGTTCCCCCAAAGTATTAATATATTATCAAAAGGGTTTTGAAAAGTACTTTGATTTTAGCAATATTGTTCTGTTCATAATTAGACAAGAGATCCAAGGCAATAGTCAACTCAAAACAGTAATTGGTTTCAGAGACGGTTGGTGAATAGTGATTAGCACGGGGCATAGTGTAGCATAGCTTTTCAGTAAATGATTAATGAACGACTGACGACACAGCACTCGGCTTAGACCGTGAGATTGTTCATGTGTCTGTTTGTGAATGACGTTTTTTAAAATCTGTGTAAAGTAGGAATTTTTTGATTTCACATAAAAACACAGGGGACAGAAGTTTTCTAGAACCTAGGTTTAAAAATGAACTCGTGATTCTTTTAAACTTCTTTTATGCCTTTTTGTGGCCAATTAAAATGCGAAAATCCTGGGTTTGGAGAAATGGTTCATTGGTTAAGTGTGCTTGCTGCTCTTCCAAAGGACCCAAGATCAGTTCCTAGCACCCTTGCTGCATGTAACTCCAGCTCCAGGGGATCGGAGGCTTTTCTCTGGCCTCCTCTGATACCAGCGCACTGTAGCAGATACACATGCACACATAAATTCAAAATAAAGTAAACTTTTCTCCAAGACAGAGTTTCTCTGTATATCCCCGACTTCAGTGTCCTGGAACTCACTTTGTAGACAAGGCTGGTCTCAAACTCACAGAGCTCTGCCTGCATCTGCCTCCCAAGTGCTGGGGTTAAAAGCGTGCACCACCACCGCCCATCTTAAAGTAAATTTTTTAAAAAATATGAAAAACATTTATTTAACTCAACTATATAGCCTAAAGTCTACATACATTTATATAAATTTGATTATCTATGGAAATGCATTGGCATTTGTGCATCTCTTCATAATTTTTCTTTTTCATTTTTTTGTTGTTCAAGTCATGTGAGTACTGGGAAAAGCTTAGGAAAACCAGACATCCCTCACTGGTTCACCAGACTATAATTGCATTCTCTAATTCTAATCCTGTTTATCTTTATTCAATAACTAAACTGGTACAGGATAATACTTTTCTTTCAATATCCAAATCTTCTGGGAAAAGACAATGTTAAAAGTCTGCGTAGAGCCAACCATCTTAATAGACAGGGGTGTTTGGTTAGCCTACAAAAAACAGTGTATGTCAATGTGTTTATTCCTGTGTTCTCTAAGTAGAAAATCTGGATATGAAGTTTTTTTTTAAAGTTTTTCACTAATATTTTGGTCAAGGGCCAAGCCAGTACAAAATCCATTAAGTTCAATCTATTTAAATGTATTGAAGGGTACTTATCTTTAGCTTTTATTTAAATAGCCACCTAGAAACCTATCTTGTCCTTTTCATGGATGTTTTTGTTGGTATGGTAGAATTGTTCATAATTTATTCTAGTTTTATTAACCACTACATCATTTTCCCTTGGTTAAAAAAGTTTTTTGCTTTTTAATAATTCAAAAGTTTAAAATTTGGTGGCATACACCTTTAATCTCAGCACTTGGGAGGTAGATGCAGGAGGAGCTCTGTGAGGTTCAGACCAGCCTGGTCTACAGAGTGAGCTCTAGGGCATCCAGGGCTGCCTAGGAAGACCTTGCTTAAAAGATAAATTAAGGAATTAATTAAGGTTCTGTGTTCTGTTATTCTGCTCATTACCACTCACTATTAAATTAGTATTTTCAAGGTCTTTTTTTTTAAGCTTATTATATTTCCTGAAGCAGATAAATATCTAATCAAGCCTGCTCATATTTGTAAATTGCAGATGTCTCTTTGTTTTATGCTAACTGGCTTTTCAAAATTTAGAACTCAGTGGTTTTGTTTTGGCCAGATTTTATTTAATAACTAGTAAGAATGCATTGTTATTTTTAAAATATCCTAGGATTTTGAGTCAGGAAAGCTGATATCTAGTCTTGCCTCCCTTTTCAATGAGCTGTGTAACTCCAGACCAAGCGTTTTTGTTTGCAGTTGAAGGGAATGAGGGGTTAGATTAGGAGTCTCACATTCCCCTGAACTCTCATTTGCTTCTCCCTTGACCATTTGATAGTCACTGCTGGAGCTCACTTGCGTTCTCTTCCCGTAAACTGTGTGTTCTTAATCAGCTTACACAGCTGAGGCACCCTCAGGTGGGTGTGATGAGAGGCATTCGTAGTTGGATGTGGTTCTGTTGCTGCAGTGCCAGGGCATAGACTCCTGGACCCCCTGTGTCAGAAAAGCGTCCTGCCTCTGAGCTACACCTCCAACCCCATTCATGTGCTCATCTCCAAGTCTTAGGTGTGCATCCCAGGCTGGCTTTGAACTTGTAGTTCTCCCCCTCTGCCCGCCAAGTGCTGGGATTTCGGCTGTGCTACCACGCCCCAGCTTAAGTGAGTTTTAAAAGAGGGAAATTGTGTTACATATAATAAAAGTGAAAGAAGTTACAAATGCCAGACATGGACTTATTAATGGAAAAAAAAACCTCCTTAAACATCAGCATAAACATATTAAGTTGATAAACATAAAAGAAATGACATATTTTGTGGTCTTTGTTATCTTAGTTATGAATATTGGTATTTAGTTAAGACCTCTTACCAGATGCATTCTGTAGTGCTGTAGTGTAGTTCATTGGGAGAGTTCCTCCCCAGTGTGTTCAAAATAAAATGGTGAACAGATCAGTTACAGCACTGGCTCCTTTGCTGATTAAAAGACTGTCAGGTTTAACCAACATTCAGATGATTATAAAAATCTATTATTGCTGTTGTTTGTTTTGTTTTTTAAGACAGGATTTCTCTGTGTAGCCCTAGATGTCCTGGAACTTTCTCTCTCTCTTTGTAGACCAGGCTGGTCTCGAACTCAGAGTCCCACCTGCCTCTGCCTCCTGAGTGCTGGGATTAAAGGTGTACACCACCACCACTCAACTTGATTATAAAATCTAAAAGAACGCAGAGAAATCGAATAGAATTTTTCCCTGTAGTCATTACTTTTTTTTTTTTTTTGGTTTTTCGAGACAGGGTTTCTCTGTGTAGCTTTGCGCCTTTTCCTGGAACTCACTTG